TATATATATATATATATATATATATATATATATATATATATATATAGACATATGTCAATACGAAGAATATTATCAAAAGTGCGATAATTATTAGTAACTAAATTTTTAGGTTGGTCTGATCGTGACCAAGAGAAATGGTCTATCTGTGAAATATAAAGATACGTGTGGTACTTCTGGAAAACAAAAAAAGACTTAAGCTATCATTGCATTGTGCCAAATGTATTTTATTCTGCAGATTTTACATTAGTTTATGTTGATTTTATGTAATACTAATTACTCGTATATCAAATTTTACAGTTAGGTATGTAAATACATACGTTCATAAATAAAACCAAATTTATAAAGAAAGATAATTCTACCAACAAAACAAATAATTATATCACTTGATAGGGAAATGTAAATTGTATAATTTTAATAGGAAAATGTCTTCGGCAACAGGTTTCAAAATAGTTGAGGTTATTTCATCTATCAGACATAATCCAAATATCGCAGATGTAAAACAAAGAGAGCTAGCATGGATGATCTGTCAGAACGTTTGTTCTAAGACGACTTTTACCCACAACATTTAGTTTAAAAACTGTAAACAAATATGCGACACTAGTAAATTTAAAACGAATTCTGTTAAGTTGCTCTTTCCACTGAAGCTAACTGTCACAGGTTATAAATATTAACAAGTACAAGTTTTGGTATTAGATGTATCAGGATTACGAATATAAAGCAGTTTTGATTCCATTTTAGAACACGATCTACTTTTAACTTTTAAAAATATCTTGGATTTTTACAGATTTCTTTGAGATACAGGGATGGAACCGATTTATTTTCGTGGTACTTTTTAAATTAAATAAGATGGAATTTTTCATAACGATAAAGCAAAACAATGCATTACAATAAGTAGGTCATAGATACATAATGGTATCAACTTACGGTAGTGCTTCATAATCATTTTAATAATGTTTCACATATTATTACATTTAACGTAAAGAATCGTTCATTATAAACTACTAATTTGTACTTACTGCAAATACTTTATCAAACGTAACAAAATTTCGCCCAAACGAAGACAGTGATTTCAAAATAAGAAAGTTAAATAAGATTATACAACTTCAGACGTTTAATCTTGTTTTACTGGTAGATGAAGTAAAATTTTGTTTTAGTTGTTGAACAGTTGTAAGTCTTGGAAGCTTAAAAAGTAGAGTCATGTTGTCTTAGAAGTACTATTACGGCAAGCCTTTACGTAATTATGTGGCGTGACGTACATTGTAAGGTTTCTTCGGTTTATTACAGGACAGGCCTAGGTTGCTTTCCATATATGGTATGTTTTTGTGGCTTTGCATCACTCATTTGTCATTTCGACTCCTTTTGAAGAACAGAGTACGTTTTAAAACTACGCGATACACTGGTAAGAAACAGGTTGAAGCGGAACTATACTTTATATGATTATTATTTTAAAAACTATCCCCTCACCCGAAAGCTACACCAACTATCTTTTTTTTTACATATTACCGCCAAACTGCTGGAAAGGTTTTAACACTCAGTCATGAGAATTATTTGTTTACAACTTTCTAATCAAACAGGTTTTCTTCCACTTTATGACCGTGTAGAACACCATAAAAACAAACATTTCTCTTAAATCACGTACTTTAATCTATTAAGAATTACATCGAATTTTACTCAAACTTGTCCCGAGAATTTTACGTTATCTGCACTAAGCCTTAGTGATTACAAATGTAAACAAATAATATCGATAAGTTATGAGCTACACACCTTACGTGGCAGAATTACATTTTATCAAATGCTTTTTATCACTGACAAATAAAGACTGTATCTACCCCATCTTCTGGTAATCATTGGTATGGTATCATGATGGTTCCTGAAAGTATATTTATGTATGTGTACACATATATATCCTCAGTAGTGTCCTACAGATGAAGATATGGTCCACAAACAGTTCTAATCGGCACGTTGAGAAACATTAATATCACCACATATACAAGAATCTCACGCTGACTCAAACAAAACAAATATTGCAGGTTTTGATGCAATTAACGATTGCAACATTTAAACATATACAACGTATACTGTTTCAGTTTCCTTATCACTTGATAATTTCAGTCTGATTGAAATTTCCACGAAATTTTAACATGCACATAAAATATATATGGCTAATACAAAACTTTATAAAATTATTATGTAAGACCCGATGGATACAACACGTAATTACCAAACACACCCATAAATATATCTTGAAGGTTTAACTTGGTGTCAGCTTTTTTTCTACTCAGAGAAGTAGAATTTCCCAACTCCCAAAACACATTTGATTATGTTCTGGAACTCAGCATATTTCTTTACCCTTTTGGTTATGTAGATCAGATGATAAAACTCATTATACTCACAGAAAGTTATAATATCAACTTTTAATTTTTACATGTTACATCATCTTTAAAGGAACAACAACTCAATAACTTCCAGAAAGGGTGCTTATCTTGATCAAGATGAAGAAAGATCTTGATTTACCAAGTTCCTTTGTTATCATCACGTGTGTTCTCCAAGTATCATATAACAATACCTAATGGAAACTGCCATTTTGGAATAATATATTAAGTTAATGGAAATCATTTTTTTTTAAATCTTGAACTACCCTGTGTTCAAATTCTGCGATACCAAGAATCATAACCTGATGAAATGGTCCAATATCAAAGAGTTTTTCACAATCTATGGTTACAATTTGCATATCAAATCAGTTTACCACTGGACATCTCCACGGCCTGTGGCTATACATTTTATAAGCACTTTTGTTGCAATTCATATGATATATCCCCTTCTGAGAGGAATACATTACAGGGCTTTCTGATATGAGATTCTCCTGTTCCATAGGTATAAAAGCATACAACTTGCAAAATTATTTTGAAGAAAACGGTAACTGTGGTGTTGAACCATGACAGTCAAATAAGGGACGGCATTATTCCACAGGCTTACCCCAATTGATTACTAGTTGTAGAATGCAGGTAGTGAAGAAAGTTAAACAGTTTGTCACCAAAGTAATCCAAGATCAAATTCGAAGTATGAATTTCCCTTGGAAGTGTAAACAAGATAATTCAAATAACTGATGTTCTAAAAAAGCAAAAGTTCTTTTAAACTCAACTGTGGAAAATTGTAGACTGATTATGTCCAATGAAACCAAAGATGGCCAAAAAGTACCGAGTTCTAGAGTAAAGCTAATTATCACATACAGCAAATTGTGAAATCAAAGAAATATAAGCTTTGATAAAAGTCTGATGTCTCTACTTGTATACTTTACAAGTTTATTGTAAAGTTTACTATAATTAACATGACATTCCATATATTTGGAATAATTAGCTTCACAATACCTGTTGTTACTTTTCAAATATAAGGATTTAAAATACGTATTTCATCATAATTTTAGTAAAATGAAACAACTAAACATGTAGTAATAATTTGGTGATGAATTAGGAATATGCAAACACACGAGTATATATATATATATATATATAATAATACTATCATCCTTTATGACTGGTTGGCTTTCGAAGGGTTTTCTTAGCAGCTTCATGAATACGGGAGTCCAACTGAACTAAAAAGAGAAATAAAACAATAAGGATCATAATGTTGAAATAACTTTATGGAATGCTTGAAAATATAATAGCCTATAACCAAATTCAAACTTATGAAACTTAATATTTAGTAACAATACATCCTTTCTTTATACAACTGTAAGTAAAAAAAATGACAACCAGAATAAAGATTTTTGCTAGTAAAAATGATAAAGCCAACAAGGAAAATAATAATCAAGTTCAACTTCAGTGAAATATCAAGTATTGTTTTTTTTAGTGAAGTATTTGGATCAGTGTTAACTATTATATATATTCAGTTACTTGATCAATTAGCCATAAAATTGTACAAGTTAGTTTATTTTAAGGTTAGACAAAGTAGAAATTAGCATGGTATTTATGTTTTAATGTCATTTGTAAACTTAAGTCTATAAGTTATAAGTGTACAATTCAAGGCAGCTTGTAGAAATGTTAAGGGAAAAATAAATTAATCTGTCATCATTACATGGACTGAATTTTGAACTATTTTCTCCAGATAATTTAAAAAACCCAATGAAAGAACACAGTTACAACAGAACAATAATGAATAAATCTACACTATAATAAATGATTGAAGCTTTTTAGCTACAAAACAACTAAAACAATGAAAATATTATTACTAATTAATATTTTTGAGTTATTTAGATAACTCCATCTTACTTACTACTCACAATGTATGAATGATAAACTGTAAAGCAGAAATTAACCAACATTTAGCTGTAAAGCAGAAATTAACCAACATTTAGCAATTAAAGCTGCATTATAAATAGCATATTAAAATTACTGAATACTCATAAAACTGTAAATCAATTACCAATTTTTAAGAATATTAATTACCACTTATGTAATTTTCATTCTATCCTTATTATTTCAAAGCAGTTTTCATGTGCATGGTAACTGGACAGTACATTTTATCTACAAAACAAATGATTTTTATTCTTACATATCTTATGTTTTCCCTTCATTGGAAACTTCACCAACAGTTCTTGAGGGTTTTCACAGATAAACACGTATGGTGATCCAGACTCCCCATCAGGATACTGAAATTACATACAATTATACAATATTACTACATAACTTATATTTTTTGGTCTTGTTAGTATAGTCATACAGTACTACACAGTTCTCACAGGTTCTCCAGAAATATTATTTGAAGTGTTTTAGTTAGTATTCATGAAACATGTTAGACCAAAGGAACTAGGTGACAAGGAGTGATACAAATAACTCAGCATATTCAACTTCATCCACTAAAATATAAATACAAAAAACTTGGACTTTCTTCTATTAGTTAGAAATGGTTTCATTGATAACTGCAGATATTACACAATATTAAATATGTTCTTTTAAACAAACTGTTCTCTTTATATTCTTACAAAATATTGGACTTTCAACTGCTTAACCTTTTTAAATTTTCTAAAATTTCCTTTCTTTAGATCTATACAATAAAATTATTTTTGTATCTTTCAAAATATAATTATAATCTATATTAATAAAACAATCTATGTGTGTGTGTGTGTCAGTCTGTCAGCACCACAGCTCCAAGAGGAAAGGATCTAGAGACCTGAAACTTTGCACACATTCTAAGGGAATTCTGAGGGCGTGCACTCGATTACTGTTTTTTCTCAAAAAATTTTGATCAATCATTTTTGCAGTTTAATTTTTCCCTGTAGCCCTTAAGCCATAAAAAGAGAGAAGTATATGCAGCCATCTGTCACTTGGTACAACAAATTGTTAGGGAATAAGTGTTTAATAATAACAGTTTTGTTACAATATGTTTATATATATATATATAAACACAAATAAAAGCATTAGAATTCATATTATTGGTGGAAATGATTATATTTAAATGTTTGTTTGTTTGTATTTCTGATTTTCAAATTGATAAAAAATATTTTTTTAAATAAAAGTTGTTACTACCTGTGCAGCGAAAAAAAAAAATTGAAATAAAGTCAAATTTGTTTTTTCACTGCATGGGTAATAACTTTTTTTAAAAAATTGAAGGAGATACAAATGATGCAAAACTTTCTTGAATCATTTTACAAAATCAATTTTAAACGAGCAGTGCAGCTGTGAGTTTCACCAGAAAGTGAGAGGAGAGGTAACACCTATTCAGGAAGAGTATCACAAAAGGTAGGGATATTTTTCATCATGCTTAACTAGCCCCTAATAAATGTTTAAGACTCATAATGTAGGTAACTTAATATGTAGAATTATAAATGGACTTTTATCTATGTTAAAATACTTTTATCTGCATGTTTTTGGCTTTCTTATCAAGGCCTTCATCAGGCAACAATGTACTGAGCGATAAAAATTTGTTAACTGTGAACTTAGTTTTAAAATAGGTATCTAGCCAATAGTCATAACAATAACTGACATCTGGTACTAAAGTTATTAAATACATAGAATTATGATGAATATAGAATATAAATCGACTGCTTGAATATAAAAAACATAATGAAATTACAATTATAGGTATTATGCAAAGAGAAAATAAAGGAATTTTTCATACTTCAAATAATACACTGTAAAATTAAAGGTTTAATTTTACATCGAAACCACACAGATTCTGTGTTTGTGTAAGTTTCTTAGTACTGCTTTTGATTTTAAATTACAAAGTAAATTGAGTAGCTTTGCTAGCTGAGAGAGTGATTGATTGTACTAATTACAGAGAAGGCTCAACAAGAGTTTAAGTTTTAGTCTGTACAACGTTTTCAAAAACCTGTTGTTACAAAACTGTTATTGTTTTATATTTTTTAAAAGAAACCATGTATAAAACAATAACAGTTTCGTAACAACAGTTTAAAAAAACTACAACATAAAAGTGTTAGAATTCACATTATTGGTGGAAATGTTAAATATTTGTTCATACTAATTTCATATTCATAGAAACTTGAAAACAATATGTCTTTCTTTTCAGTATCAGTACCTTTATGCATTTGAAATGTATTGTTACATGAAAAGTGAAATTTTTTTCCTTTCTGTTAAAAAATAGCTAAACATCAGCCCTCTCCTCAGGTAGTACCCGGGCAACACCGGGTAAGGATGGCTAGTATTGTAATAAAACTCTGCAAGTTAGAAAATAGTTTTTAAATACAAACGAGAACAAACAATAGATGTACATTTAATAAACAATTATTCAACTTTCTGAACAAAATTACAGCAAAAAAATTCATGTAAAAACCAGTAACATGGTTTATTCTTATTTTTTCACAACACCAACTGGGGATTCGGGACAATGTCAAACAGAATCGGGGCACAGGCCCCATATGCCAGCGCCTAATGATGCTTTTCATTTGAAAGTAGAAACATATTGTTGCGTATCTGCTTGTTTGATAATTTCTGGTAAAAATTCTTTCCGAGTGACTTCAGCGATACAAGTCCCTTCTTGATTAAAACTAGTCTATTCTTTCTCGTTACAAAC